GTGGAGGGGCTGAATCAGACAAGCCAGGCAGTGAAGAGATGAAAGTGGAATGAGGTGCAGGGGTTGCATCACACAAGATGGTCAGTGAAGAGATGACAGTGAGTGAGGTGGATAAACTGCATCAGACAGGATGGTGAGTGAAGAGATGACAGTGGGATGAGGTGGAGTTGCTGTGTCAGACAAGATGGTCAGTGAAGAGATGACAGCCCAATGAGGTGTAGGGGGCTGCGTCAGACAAGACAGGCAGTGAAGGGATGACAGTGAGATGAGGTGTAGGAGTTGCGTCAGACAAAATGGTTTGTGAAGAGAGGAAAGTGGGATGAGGGGGAGAACCTGCATCAGACAGGATAGTGAGTGAAGAGATGACAGTGGGATGAGGTGGAGGGTCTGCGTCAAGTGAAAAGATGACAGTGAGATGAGGTGGTGGGTCAATGAAAAGACGTCAGTGAATAGTTGACAGCGGGATGAGGTGGAGAAACTGCGTCAGAAAAATTGGCCAGTGAAGAGATGGCTTGAGGTGGAAAGAGTGAAGAGATGACACTGGGATGAGGTTGAGGGGCTGCATCAGACGAGATGGGCAGTGAAGAGATGACAGTGGGATGAGGTGGAGGGTCAGTGGAGAGATGACAGTAAGATGAGTCCGACAAGACAGGCAGTGAAGAGATGACAGTGGAATAAGGTGTAATGGTTGCGTCAGACAAGATGGTCAGTGAAGAGATGACAGTGGGATGAGATGGAGTGGCATCATCAAACAAGAAGGTCAGTGAAAAGATGATAGTGGGATGAGTTGGAGGGGCTGCATCAGACGAAACGGTCAATGAAAAGATGACAGCGGGATGAGGTGCAGCGGTTGTGTCTGACAAGATTGTCCGTGAAGAGATGACAGTGGGATGAGGTGGAGAAGTTGCAGCAGATAGGATGGTGAGTGAAGAGATGACAGTGGGATGAGGTGGAGAAGTTGCAGCAGATAGGATGGTGAGTGAAGAGATGACAGTGGGATGAGCAGGAGTGGCTGCATAAGACGAGACGGTCAGTGAAGTAATGACAGTGGGAGAGGTGGAGGGTCAGTGTAGAGATGACAGTAAGATGAGGTGGAGGGGCTGAGTCCGACAAGACAGGCAGTGAAGAGATGACCGTGGAATGAAGTGCAGGAATTGCGTCAGACAACATGGACAGTGAAGAGATGACAGCAGGATGAGGTGGAGAAACTGCGTCAGACAAAAGAGCCAGTGAAGAGATGACAATGGGTTAAGGTGGAGGGACAGTGAAAAGATGACAGTGGGATGAGCAGGAGTGGCTGCATCAGACGAGACAGTCAGTGAAGAGATGACAGCGGAGTGGGGTGGAGGGACACTGAAGAGATGATAGTGGGATAAGGAGGAGGGTCAGTGAAGAGATGACACTGGGATGAGGTGGAGAAGATGCATCAGACAGGATGGTGAGTGAAGAGATGACAGTGGGATGAGGTGGAGGGTCTGCTTCAACTGAAGAGATGACAGTGGGATAAGCATGAGGGGCTGCATCAGACGAGACGGTCAGTGAGGAGATGACAGTGAGATGAGGTGGAGGGTCAGTGAAGAGATGATTGTGGGATAAGGAGGAGGGTCAGTGAAGAGCGGACATTGGAATGAGATGGAGAGGCTGCATCAGACGAGACAGTCAATGAAGAGATGACAGTGGAATGAGGTGAAGGGGCTGAATCAGACAAGACAGGCAGTGAAGACATGAAAGTGGAATGAAATGGAGTTGCTGAGTCAGACAAGATGGTCAGTGAAGAGATGACAGCCAGATGAGGTGGAAGGGGCTGCGTCAGAGAAGACAGGCAGTGAAGGGATGACAGTGGGATGAGGTGGAGGGGCTGCATCAAATGAGATGGTGAAGAAATGACAGTGAAGAGACGACATGGTCAGTGAAGAGATGACAGTGGAATGAGGTGCAGGGGTTGCGTCAGACAAGATGGTCAGTGAAGAGATGACAGTGGGATGAGGTGGAGGGACAGTGAAGAGATGACAGTGGGATGAGGTGGAGGGGTTGCATCAGACAAGATGGTCAGTGAAGAGATGAAAGTGGGATGAGGTGAAGGGTCACTGAAGAGATGAGAGTCGCATGAGGTGGAGGGGCTGAATCAGACAAGCCAGGCAGTGAAGAGATGAAAGTGGAATGAGGTGCAGGGGTTGCGTCACACAAGATCGTCAGTGAAGAGATGACAGTGGGATGAGCTGGAGTGGCTTCATCAGAGGACACGGTCAGTGAAGAGATGACACTGGGATCAGGTGGAGAAGATGCATCAGACAGGATGGTGAGTGAAGAGATGACAGTGGAATGAGGTGGAGGGTCTGCGTCAATTGAAGACATGATAGGGGATAAGCTGGAGGGGCTGCATCAGACGAGACGGTCAGTGAGGAGATGACAGTTTGATTGGTTGGAGCGTCAGTGGAGAAATGACAGTGGGCTGAGGTGGAGGGGCTGCCTCAGACAAGGTGGGCAGTGAAGACATGACAGTGAGATGAGGTGGAGGGTCAGTGGAGAGATGAGAGTGGAATGGGGTGGAGGGTCAGTGAAGAGATGATAGTGGGATAAGAAGGAGGGTCAGTGAAGAGCGGACATTGGGATGAGCTGTAGAGGCTGAATCAGACAGATGGTCAATGAAGAGATGACAGTGGAATGAGGTGAAGGGGTTGCATCAGACAGGATGATGAGTGAAAAGATGACAGTGGGATGAGATGGAGGTTCACTGAAGAGATGACAGTCAGATGAGGTGGAGGGGCTGCATCAGACAAGATGGTCAGTGAAGAGATGACAGTGGAATGAGGTGAAGGGGTTGCATTAGACAGGATGGTGAGTGAAGAGATGACAGTGGGATGAGGTGGAGGGGCTGCATCAGACGAGATTTGCAGTGAAGAGATGAGAGTGGGATGAGATGGAGGGGATGAATCAGACGGGAGAGTCAGTGAAGAGATGACAGTGGGATGAGGTTGAGGGTCGGTGAAAAGATGACAGTGGGATGAGCAGGAGTGGCTGCATCAGAGGAGACGGTCAGTGAAGAGATGGCAGTGGAGTGGTGTGGAGGGACAGTGAAGAGATGACAGTGGGATGAGGCACAAGGTGTGCGTCAGACAAGATGGTCAGTGAAGAGATGAAAGTTGGATGAGGTGGAGGGTATGCGTCAAGTGAAGAGATGACAGTGGGATAAGGTGGTGGGTCAATGAAGAGACGACAGTGGAATATGAAGGGTCAGTGAATAGATGACAGCGGGATGAGGTGGAGAAACTGCGTCAGACAAAACGGCCAATGAAGAGATGACAATGGGTTAAGGTGGAGGGTCAGTGAATAGATAAAAGTGGAATAACATGGAGGGGCTGCATCGGATGAGGTGAGCAGTGGAGAGATGACAGGGGGATGAGGTGGAGGGGCTGCCTACGACAAGGTGGGCAGTAAAGAGATGACAGTGAGATGAGGTGGAGGGATGATAGTGGGATAAAAAGAAGGGTCAGTGAAGAGCGGACATTGGGATGAGCTGTAGAGGCTGCATCAGACGAGATGACAGTGGAATGAGGTTAAGGGGTTGCATCAGACAGGATGGTGAGTGAAAAGATGACAGTGGAATGAGGTGGAGGGTCACTGAAGAGAGTCGGATGAGGTGGAGGAGCTGAATCAGACAAGCCAGGCAGTGAAGAGATAAAAGTGAAATGAGGTGCAGGGTTTGCGTCACACAAGATGGTCAGTGAAGAGATGACAGTGGGATGAGGTGGAGAAGCTGCATCAGACAGGATGGTGAGTGAAGAGATGACAGTGGGATGATCTAGAGGGTCAGTGAAGAGACGACAGTGAGATTAGGTGGAGGGTCAGTGAAGAGATGACAGTAAGATGAGGTGGAGGGGCTGAGTCCGACAAGACAGACAGTGAAGAGATGGTCAGTGAAGAGATGACACTGGGATGAGGTGGAGGGTCAGTGAAGAGATGAGAGTGGGTTGAAGTGGAGGGGCTGTATCAGACAAGATGGTCAGTGAAGTGATGACAGTGAAATGACGTAGAGCATCAGTTAAGAGATGACAGTGGGATAAGGTGGAGGGGCTGCATCAGAGAATACGGGTAGTGAAGGGATGACATTTTTGAGACGTACATGAAAAGTTGCTGGTCGCTCGCAAATCAGGGTTAGCTGCCTTCAGGTACAGGGAAGTATGTTGATGCACTCTTTCCTGATCCTTTGGGACAAACACCTGGAAAAAATTCCTGAATAACGCAGTCTGTCTGAGAGCTAGAGTGGAATTAAAGTAATAGGAGTGACAGAACATCTCCTTGTCCCGTGCTGGTTTTCCAAGGGAATGCTTCCAGCTTTTGTCCATTCAGTATGATCCTGGCTATTAGTTTGTCATAAATAGCTCTTACTATTTAGAGATATGTTCAATCAATACCCTGTTTACTAAGTAGTTTTTAGCATAAAAGGTTTTTGAATTCAGATTCACAGCCAAATTCTACCAGAGGTACAAAGAGGAGCAGGTAACATTCCTCCTGAAACAATTACAAACATCAGAAAAAGTGGGAATCCTCTCTAACTGATTTTGAGGCTGGCATCATTCTTTCTTATTTTAAGAGGCCAGCATTATCCTGATGCCAACACCTGGCGGAGACACACACAAATTCAGGCAGTATTCCTGATAAACATTGATCCAAAAACCTCAGTAAAATACTAGCAAACCAAATTCAACAGCACGTCAAAAAGCTTATCCACCACGATCAAGTTGGCAGATGAGAAACTGCCCCACATCCCCAGAGGAAGAACCTATGTTGGCTGGGCTACTAGATGAATTCCCAGAGGTCTGGGCTGAAACATTGGCTGGGCTACTAGATGAATTCCCAGAGGTCTGGGCTGAAACGTTGGCTAGGCTAATAGATGAATTCCCAGAGGTCTGCGCTGAAACTAACCTGCCTGGGTTAGCAGTAAATCATGCTCCAATTGTAGAATTAAAACCAGGTGCCCTCCTTGTCTGACTTCGCAGGTACCCCTTCCTGAAGCCATCAGCGGCATATGGAAATACACAGAACGACTTCAGAACCACGGCATTCTCAGGCCATGTGAATCTCCCTGGAACACTCTGCTCCTGCCAGTGTGGAAGCCAACAACAAAACCTCATATGCCAGGAGCACATGACTACGGACCAGTACAGGATTTGCAAGCTATCAGTGAGGCCACAGTGCCTATTCCTCCAGTAGTGCCAAACCCTACACTCTAATAACTAATTCCAGCAAGTGCAGCCTGGTTTACTGAACTAGATCCAAAATATGTCTTTTTCTCTCTCTGTCTAGAACCAATAAACCAACCATTAATTGCCTTCCAGTAGGGCAATTGTCAACTCACTTGCGCCAGACTTCTGCAGGGGTTTAAGAACTCTCCCACAATCTTTGGAGAAGCATTGGCAACAAACCTTAAGGCCTGCAGTCCTCCCAACAAAAAGTGTGTCCTCTTGTAGTACGTGCATAATCTTTCAGCAGCCCCAACCATAAAAGATAGTTATCAAAAGACACACAGTCTGCTCCACCTGTTACAGAAGGCAGGATACAAAGTGTCAGGAAGAAAAACCCAGGTCTACCTAAGTATTGGGTACCTAGGATTTAGCACAAGCCAAGGGAAGTGGAATCTAGGTATGCCCCAGGTCAAGGCTGTTTGCAGGCGCTATATAAGAGTTTTTAGGGGCAGCAGGTTCTGCCGTATCTGGACTCCAAACTTCTCACTTATAGCACAGCCCTTATATAAAGCAACAAAACACGGGGTTGGTCGGGGAGGAAACTTTCCTTTCAGGAACTGAACCAGAAAAGGCATTTAAACAAGTTAAGCAAGCCCTAACTAAGGCCCTGGCTCTAGGACTACCAGACATGACCAAGCCTTTCTTGTACGTACATGAATGGAAAGGAATGGCCATTGGGGTCTTAGCTCAAGTCCTAGGATCTTGGCACCGCCTGGTGGCCTACTTATCTGAACAGTTACATGTAGTGGCAGAAGGATGGTCCCCCTGCCTTGAGCCATTGGCTGCCACAGGCATGCTGGCGAAGGAAGCAGACAAACTGACCCTATGGCAACACTTGACTATACAAGTGCCACACTCATTCCTGACCTTAATGCATCAAACAGGACACCACTGGCTGTCACATGCCAGAATAACTCAGTCTCAAGGGCTCTCATGCAGGAACGCTCACATAACTCTAGAGACTGTGTAGAAACAATAGATGAAGCAACAGAATCCTCCTCTAGCCGGAAGGATCTTAAAGATCGCCCTCGCCAGGACCCAGATGCAGAATACTTCATTGATAAGGAGGAGCTTCTCAGACACACAAAATCAGAGGGCTGGGTGTGCAGTAGAGGCCCAGTGCTTGCCAGCAGGACCTCAGCCCAGAGAGCAGAATTAATAGTTTTAACCAGAGCATTATTACTGGCAAAAGACAAAACAGCCAACATAGACACTGACTCCAGATACGCATTTGCCACCCAGCATGTGCGTGGGAGTATCTATGAAGAAGGATGGCTCTCAGTAGCCCAAAGGGCAAGGTATCCAGAAGAAATTTTTCAACTTTTAGGTGCATTATGAGCAGCAAAAGAAGTCGCTGTTATACCCCGTAAAGGCCCCCAGAAGGTAGCAACACTGGAAGTGAAAGGAAATAGAAAAACAGAAGAGGCCAAGCGGGCAGGCCTAGGTGGCGTCCCACCGTCCCATGTAGGGGCCGGGAAGGCTGCCTGTGCCGTGACCCTCCTCCCAGAGGGACTGTGTTCAGAGACTCCAGATTACTCTCCAAATGAAAAGGCCTGGTTTGCTCAGAACACTGGGAGCTATGGTAGCGGTTTGCAGAAGGAAGGTGGCCATTCCTGAAGGAATCACCCCTAGATTTGTAAAACAGTTTCATCAAGGAACTCACATGGAAAAGAGGGCATTAGAAGAGCTGTTAGGATGCCACTTCTATGTGCCATGGCCTGCTGTCATCTCCCATGCCATTTGTGAATAGTACTTAACCTGCACCCAGAACAGACCACAGCAGGGGCCAACCGAGCCCCCAGGAATTCAAGAAGTAGAGGCAGCAGCTTGTGAAAATTGGCTTGTGGATTTTACAGAGCTGCCTTGGGCAGGAGCTGTATGTTAGTGTTTGTCTGTACCTACTCAAGTTGGGTACAGGCTTTCCTCACCAGGACAGAAAAGGCATGAGAAGTAACTAGAATGTGAATAAAAGACATTATCCCCAGACTTAGGCTACTATAGAATCAGACAGTGACCCAGCATTGTTAGTCAAAATTGCCCAAGACCTAGCACGGCTGTTAATAAGCTGGAAACTGCATACCACCCATCGCCCACAGGGCTCAGAAAGGGGTGAGCGTATGAATGGAATGCTCAGGCAGGTGTTAAGGAAGTTCTGCCAGGAAACGCATCTGCGGTGGGGTCAGGTCCTGCCCATGGTCCTCCTCCGAGTCAGGTGTACCACCACCCAACAACCTGGGTATTCACCCAATGAAACTGTTTGGCTGCCCACCCTCAATCATGACCCAAATTAAAGACTACCGCAGAGAGCTAGGAGAATTAACCCTGAGAAAGCAAAGGCTGGCCTTAGGCATAACCATGCAGGTTATGGGTTAGAGAAAATTACCTAGCAGTCTCACACATCCTGTGCATCCCTTTAAACCCGGGGATTCATTCTGGGTCAAGAAGTGGAACCCAAACACATGAGAGCCAACGTGGATGGGCCCCATATTGCAATGTCGTCCACTCTAACTGCTGTTAAAAGTTGCAGGCATCCGCCCGTGGATCCACCACAGGTGGCAGAAGCCACAGCAGCCCAGGAAAAGCAGATCAGCAGCAGAATCCAAAGCATCCAACCAGGCCGATCCTACAACGAGCCCCAACTGCAGCAGGAAAGATAGCCCCACTCTAGTTACACAGCCAGAGGCCAACTAGTCCTCGCACGTCTGAAGCTTGAGTCCTCAGAAGTAAATGTGAATTAAAATTTTAAGCCTAATTGCTATCTTAGTATTGTTAACTATTCTATTACTATGCTGTCATCTTTGCCAACCTCTATGTCCAAGGAAAAATTCATCGCGTCCCTGCCTAATGGTATAAAAATGTTAATTTTTACATTACTGTTAACTCCAATATCTGTACGAAAAGAAAGGCAACTGGTAAAAGAATGTACTTACTGGCTGCAGACTCCCCGGATTAGACATACAGTAGTTACAGCCTGGCTGTATCAAACATAGTATATGTGTACAGGGACTCAGGACTTGTACTTATAATCAAACAACTTACTCAGCTTGTGACCCAGGCAGTGAGCAACCTTCTATATGTTATAATCCCAAGTTCGTGCCCAGGATTCAGTTTGAAGTCCGAGATAAGTCAGTAGAAAGGGATCCTCTTTCCCCCAAAAGGAAACATAAACCTGTACTTTAATGTCTGTCCGACAGCATTCACAAGGACAGCCTGGCCTTACTGCCACTGGAAGCACCCAATAGTTGGCAGGCACGCCCTGGCCTTTATTAAACGTATGGACAGCGAGCCTATCGGCAGTGACCAGGCAATGGGACAGGAGCCTGTGTAATAGGGATAGCAGGAACGTAAAATACGACATTTACTGTTGTAGACCTGATTGCCCACCTTCTACTTGCTCAAAAGCATACTGCGAAACTGCCACTGACCCATATCCCAACCACCAAGAAACCAGCACTAAAAGAAATCGTGTTTATAAAATGTAAAACTAAATTGTAAGAGACAACTGCCATCCTGTAACCCTTCCAATCTGCAAAGCAAACCTGCCTCTGACTCACAGGCTATTGTATCGCAATGCATTTAAGTGACAGGAAAACAGTTGTGTTATGTATGACTAAGAAAACTCGGAACCGACCAGGTGCGGTGGCTCACGCCTGTAATCCCAACACTTTGGGAGGCTGAGGCGGGTGGATCACGAGGTCAAGAGATCGAGACCATCCTGGTCAACATGGTGAAACCCCGTCTCTACTAAAAATACAAAAAATTAGCTGGGCATGGTGGCGCGTGCCTGTAATCCCAGCTACTCAGGAGGCTGAGGCAGGAGAATTGCCTGAACCCAGGAGGCGGAGGTTGCTGTGAGCCGAGATGGCACCATTGCACTCCAGCCTGGGGAACAAGAGCGAAACTCCGTCTCAAAAAAATAAAAAATAAAAAAAATAAATAAAGAAAACTCGGAACCATCCGTTTAAGCAACATTTCCAGGTTTTCGAGTCATTTTATGAGACTATAAAAACACTAAGAGTGACTTAAACCCCTCCCGTAGCCAGTAACTTGTTCGGCCAGCTGGGTGAGAGTACAGCTGACAATGTAGGTGTTCCCTCTTGTGTCTGTGGAGGTACTAACATAAGGGATCAGTGGCCATGGGAAATGGAGGTCATGGCCTCCTGAAAATATCACCTTATCTCCACCTTCCTGAGCCAATGCACAAGCGTTCAAGCATTTAGCTCTTAAAAACTTCCATTCTCAAAAGGCATTGCATTGCCCACTGGGGAAACACTTTCACCAACCCGGTAGGAAAACTGGCTTGCTTATGGCAGCAATATTGTGATAAAACAGTAAGAAAAACCTTGCGGCAGGGCAAAAGTAAGCAAGGTAAAAATGACTTCCAGGTCACCACAGTACAACCCACTCTCTCACTTTCCAACTTTAAACCACTCCTGGTATCAACTTGAAGCACCCAGTAGCTGCCAGGCAGCCCCTGGCCTTTATTAAACTTACGGACAGTGAACCTATCAGCAGTTACCAGCCAACTGGACAGCAGCCTGCATAGTAGGGACAATCAAACCATCCTTCTTACTCCCTCTGCAGCTAGGAGAGACTCTAGGCTACCCTGTTTATGAAGTAAAAAAGTAAAAGAAGTATAGACATCAAAGGAGGTATAAATATAGAAGACTGAAGAAACACCGGCCCCCTAAAAGAATTATTCAATTCTGCAGGCTGGCTCCCTCGGCACAGGGTGCGTCATGGGGTTACTGAACTCCTGTTTATATGCTCAACTGCATTATAAGCCACACGCAGGGCTTGAAATCATTCCTAATGAAACTGCACAGGCTTTAGATCTGCTGGCCGTGCAATCCACAAAAACAAGAAATGCCATCGACCAGAACAGGTAGATAACCCAAACACATCTCCTTTGCGTTATCTCCTTGCCAAGAAGGAAGTGTATATGCAAAGTTTAACTTACTACCTGTTGCTTAAAAATTAGTAATAATAAAAAAGCTGTCGTGAGAATAACTGCAAGAATGAGAAAGCTAGCAGCCCATGGCCCAGTTCCAAATTGGAAACCCAGATAGTCACAGACGCCCTCTTTGGAGGT